GGGTCGAAACAGCTAAATGAACCGCCAACTTATCCAGCATATATTTTACGCAGCGGAGGCCATCCAGCTGCAACCCATCTCTGGGAAACATCCATACACACTCATTCACACTCATAAACTACGAACAATTTAGCCAACCAAATTCACCTGTACCGCATGTCTTTGGACTGTGGGGGAAACCGGAGCACACGGAGGATGCTCTGCAGGGAGAACATGCAAACTCCACACAGAAACGCCAACTGACCCAGCAGAGGCTCGAACCAGCGACCTTCTTGCCTTGAGGCGACAGGACTACCTACTGAGTCACTGCGTCACCCTTGAAATGCTATACATATGTATTTAAAAGAGATCTTAGTCATTTTAGTTGCTTTTCTTATAGTTATTGTAATTTCATTCATTTGTTTAATTTAGTTTAATTTAGTAATTTTATTATTATTTTATTATTATTAAAACTATTATTATTTTATTTTCCCTTTCTGTCTAATGATATGTTATTTGTATGCATATGTTATAGTTTTTCTTATGACTGTTGACCTTTTTTTGAGATCTGTCTGTGATCCCTTGGATTTTGTTCTGATGTTCTTGTATTGTCAGTTCAAGCAATTAATAAAATTATTTCAAATAAATTAAACCTGTTCTTCAAATAACACAGTTATCTCGTATCAGAACACTTGGTGTGTTTGAGGGGGTTGGAGGGCTCCCACAGGCCCATAGCCAGGGGGGGTTTGGGTGAAAGAGCCAACAACCCACCAACAAAGATCCAGAATTTTTTTTTCTGGACCTAACAATTATTATTTTGAGTCCAACATCCAGCTGTGCAAGAAAAAATACATGCTATCATTGTTTATTATTCTGACTGAGGAAAGTGACTGAGGTGCTTGCCAGTTTGTTATTTGCCTAATAAATGACAATATAACTTATTCCTAATTAATATATATATATATATATATATATATATATATATATATATATATATATATATATATATATATATATATATATATATATATATATATATATATATATGACATAATACGTTTTTTTCACTTTCTACATAAATCTTTATACTTTTGGTACATCAAAAAGTGTGGTTATCATGGTCATTTGACAAACTAATCCAGCAAAAAATAGTGCTTAAAATGTTACTATAGTAAATAGTGAATAATAATTAAATAAAAAATGAGGTGAATAACTGCAATAAGGTCCACTTTTTAAGAAAAAAAAAACACTTCTGAAGAACCACCACACTAGGCTGGCTAGGGGCCTGTCCGATTATGAATGTTTCAAAGCATTAGAGTTTTTGATGAACAGACTTTCAGTGTAGGGACAGAAATATCTGAAATTTGATTCTCTTACTTTTCCAAAGACAAAGGAAAGTTTCTGAGTTTGGAACAACATCAAGGTGAGTCAAACACAACAGCCTTTGTACTTTATTTTAAGGTGCCTCTTTTCTAGAGCAAATATTCATTTAACTACTGAGTAATTAATTTCAGTATCAACTAATTATGTGGTTAGTAATATAGTGTGGCTTAAGTTTAGTTGCATGTAACCATGTATAATTAGGCTAATTGTAATTACTAGAGTAAGTACATGTAGCATGTAGCACCCGTTTACTGTCCCAGAGATGATAATGTTTTTTTTTTTGTTTTTTTTGTCTAAATCTCAACTTATCTTGAAAAACATTATTTTATATGCATTTATCACATGTAATATTTAAGTGGCCACAGCTATATAACCCTACAGCCCAAGACCTGGGCTGAGCCTGGTCAGTACTGGAGGGAAGACCACATGGGAAAAAACTAGGTTGCTGTTGGAAGTGGTGCTAGTGAGGCCAGCAGGGGGTGCTCAACCTGCGGTCGGTGTGATTCCAATTCCCCCAGTAAAGTGAAGGGGACTATACTGTCAGTGAACACTGTCTTTCGGATAAGACAATAAACCGGGGTCCTGACTCTCTGTAGTTATTGAAAATCCCATGGCATTTCTCATAAAGAGTAGGGCTGTAACCCCGCTGTCCTGGCCAAATTCCCTTCTTCTGCCCTTACCCATCATGGCCTCCCAGTCATCCCCATCCACCGAATTGGCTCTTTCACTGTCTCTCTACTCCACCTATAGCTGGTGTGTGGTGAGCTCACTGGCGCTGTTGTGTGGTTGCCGTTATATAATCCAAGTGGATGCTCACACTGGTGATCGTGAAGCTCTTTGGGTGGCAATACGCTGTAAATACACACATTACATTGCAAATTTGCGCTGACAGCAGGCCTGGGTTGGCTAATCAGGAAAACCGGAAGAATTCCCGGTGGGCTGGTCCGTTTTTTTGGCCGTGAGGGTCGGTGTTCCTAGCTGCTTGCACTCTCAGTAGTTGCACTTTTTTCATTTATTGATTTATTTTGGCATAGCCTCACTCTTTTTATTCATTATTTTGCCGCAGCTCATCTTTTTATTTATTTTCTCGCAGCCCAGTGAGCAAAATGCAGTCTGCAGGTTAAGGTTGACAGCGGCACCTTAGTGAATATAAGAATTAACATTAATGAATATTTCTGTAACGACTGGGGGGAGTGACACTCACAACAGAAGGTAAGATCCAATATGCAGGTTTATTCAATGTCAGGCAAGCAGTGGTCATCAGGTGCAAACGGGTATCTATAGACAGTCCAGAATCATAAACGATAAACAGGCAAAAGGTCGAAAGGCAGGTGGCTAAACTAGAGAACAAGGGTGACAAGGCTAAGGTCTAACACGGAGAAAACAAGACAGGGAACCGCGTTGTAATGTTGATGTAATGTAATGTAAGATGCCAACAAGACTCGGCAAACTGGAAGCGTGAATGTGTGGCTTAAGTATGGAGTGATATCAGTCTGTGACAAGGTTCAGCTGGTGATTGCAATCAGGATAGATGAATGAACAGGCGTGCGTGTTTGGGAGCAGTGCATGTATGAAAATGTAGTCCTGGGAAATGCGGAAATGTAGTTTTGAGAGTTCGTGTGAGAACCAGCGATCTCTGGAAAGCGATCGCTGGTTGTGTGACAATTACAACCTGATCAATGAAAATCAGATAATTCACTACATTAATAAATCTGACATAACCTGATCAGAAATCTAAAAACGGGAGAAAAAGTTTTGCTAATACTTATTTCAAATTCCAAACTCAGCAGCATAATAGTACCCTTGACGTCCAGTGGTCAGCACATTGCGTTATGACTCTGCTGACCCGAGATCCAGTCTCACCTAAAAAAAAAATTTTTCCATTTTTAGTGTTAAGACAAATAATACTGTTTGGGTAACTTATGTAGGTGTACAAATTTTTGTTTATTTTTATTTTTTGTGTAACAACCATTACAAAGGACTGGATATCTATAAAGAATTTTGAATGTATATTCAGATATTGCACGAAGGACATTGTGATTTTTTAAATAATGGTGTTGGAGATTTAGCTACCCTTTAATGTTCTCATATTTATGACAAACATTTGAAGTTCTAAAGCAGCTGTGTCCTTGAAAAAGACGTGATAGTGTCATTAGAAACTGAATTGGAAATGACCTTATTTTAATATAGTCAGTCTTGAACTGAGTTGGGCCGGTCTAAGGCTTGAAACTCCTTGGCTGAAAAGGAGTCCCACTCCAGTCCTGGCTGACAGTTACCAATGATGTTTCATTTTGGGCTAAATGATCCCTTTATCTCCTTATTGAACCTCTTAACAGGCATCTTAATGCCTGGTTGACCTTTTGTCCATAGGTTATTGTAAAAAAAAAAAAAACACATTTTCTTATAGCGGTGTCAGAAACAGTCAAAAAAGGTCCAAAACAA